GGGGAGCGTAGAAGGAAAAACTCAGATGACTAAGTCTGAAGCTGACACTGAAGGAATGGTATGCGTCTGAAGGAAGAAATAGGAAGAAGTAAGGAAACAAAGGGGAATCTGGGGGAGATTTCCAAGCAGAAAGACCACCAAATGCTAATGTACATTGATAATTAGATGTTCCTCTGTACGTTTTCGACTGAGAAGTCTTGAGCCACACACCTCTGGCAGCTCATGGGCACCTACAGAGAGAAACCCTGCCAGCAAAGAAGCCTTGTTGTCAGTGTCGCTCTGAGTTGCTATCAGTTTCAACTGCTGCTAACAATGTTTTTAATTATAATTTCCTTTTAGATTACTTTTCTCATCGATTTAGTTTGTCGTGGTTGGTATTCTTTATCCAATAGTGTGTATGACTACTTTTATCAGTAGTATTTTTAGTCTCTATATTTCTAATAACTACTCTGAAGCATGTGTACCTTGTAATTCAGAAATACATCTTTGGTCTCTTAATCACGTAGCCTTATCTCACTATTACTGCTAATCTAACTTAATAAACTAACATGGAAATGTCTGAGTAGTGATTTGCCTTGCCTTTGTTGGCAAAATATAAAATAAAAATGTAAAAAATATAAAATATAAAATATTTTATAAAATACATAAAGACGTAAAACATGAAATATCTATTTTTAAAATTCTTGAGGACTGTTGATTTGGGACAGAAAGGAGAGGAGTTGGAGGTGAAAGAAGATGGTATTATGAGGAGACAGGAATCAGAGATGTAAGCTCTAAAGGTACAGCTAGATCTAAAACTCTTGTAGGGCATTATATTAGTTACCTACTGCTATGTAGCAAACTACAAGACTCCGTGACTTAAAATAACAAACATTTATTCTCTGTCTGTGGATCAGGAACCCAGATAGGAGTTAAGTTAGTCATCTGCTGTAGGATCTCTCAACGCTGCAGTCAAGGTGTTGGTCAGGGCTATGGTATCAATGTGAAGGCTCAGATGGGAAAGTTTCTGCTCTCAAGTTTACGTGGTTGTTGGCAGGATTTGGGTCCTCCATGGTTGTTGGACTGAATGCCTCAGTCCCTTGCTTGCTGTTGCCTGGAAACTGCCTTTAGATTGTTGTCGAATGGGCCTCTCCATTGAGAAACAGGGTATCTTACATGATCAGAGGAATCCCATGAAGAGAGAGAGGGAGAGACAGAGACAAAGAGAGAGCAAAAAAGATGAAAGTTACAATCATTTATAACCTAATGTTGGAGGTGACATTCCATCACTTTGCAATCATCTATTCAGTAAAGACAAGTCACTAGGTCCAGCCCACAGTAAAGGGGAGGAGATGACACAAGAGAATAAGTGCCAGGAGGGAGGGATCATTGAAGGATATTAGAAGAAAACTTACCACAGGCATTATCATGTCATTCTTGTTTTATATTTCTTAACCATTGGTGCGCCTAGGTGGCTCAGTTGTTAAGTGTCTGCCTTCAGCTCAGGTCTGGTCCCAGGGTCCTGGGATCGAGCCCCGCATTGGGCTCCCTGCTCTGCGGGAAGCCTGCTTCTCCCTCTCCCACTCCCCCTGCTTGTGTTCCCTCTCTCTCTGTGTCTCTCTCTGTCAAATAAATAAAATCTTTAAAAATAAAAAATAAAAATATATTTCTTAACCATTTTATAGGACAGTGCCAAGCACATTGTTTTCTTCAATATGTTCCTGGAGAACTGAATTAATTTGTTACAAATCTTTATGTCATGACTATGAACTATATTTTATCAAACACACAAGTAATTCAGAACTTTCTGATCTTCCAGAATAACTTTCTAAGTTACAGTGCATGTCAATGTAAAAAGAATGCAAATCTAATCTAGGTTAGGAGTAGCTGGGTGAACTCAAACATTTGTGGTTTTTGGCTCATATACAGAAATGAATATTTCGATTCTAGCCAATGAGATTTTTTCCCCCCATGGAGACTTGAACCCTTGTATTCTAAATTTAGCTTCACAAGGAAATGCTATATCAAAAGGGTATACCTGTTATATCTTTTTTTTTTTTTTCTGAAAGCGTAACTTACCACTGCCCTCTAAGCTTTTGTCATTGTAACCAGATTCTTTTCTCAGTTAATCAGGTTGATTTCTTTTCACTCTACTTAAAGACCTGTTTGGAGCTTTAGTTACACATTACACATACTGCTACTTACCCTTGCTTTGGCTTACTTGTCAAGCCACATCAAAAATGTCGTTCTCAATTCTTCCTACAATAGGGGCTCAGGAGAAAAAAAATACAGACTTAATTTGGACTTGCCTTGCTTTTCTACATTTACAAGACCATTTTACTTCCCTTCATCCAAAATGCATGAATTCTTTACTATAGGGAATACTTTCTTTTCTTTATCACCTGCAATAAAGTATAGGGCAAAATCCAAGACAGAAATGAAAAATTAGCACAAAAATTGGAAACAATAGATACTATTTCATTTTATTTTGCTTATACTAAGGAATGGATCTACAAACCTCAGAAACATGTTAGCAAATATCAGAACATACTATCCTTTTTTACAGTTTGAAAAGAGTAAAAATGGCTTTACTTTTCGCTAAGAGTAAGTTTTCGGTCTTCTGTGCTAGGACCTAATGAAAAGGATGTGTTCCCCTTGACTGTTTTCTTTGAGAGAAAGAAGAAACCCATTTTATTACCTCAAAGACTTAGGGTAAAAGAAATGGTATCACTAAGCAAAAAAATGAATTAACTGAATGCTATACAAACCCCAAAGAGCATTTTCCCTGTTGAAGAGGGTACAGTACCAATTATACTATTATCTCACCCTACTCTCTGGGTGAATAGTCTGAAAGCCTAAATTACAGTTGATGTTAGATTTCTTGGCTTCATTTGCAAATTGGAGTCATTTTCTTTTTTGTGAATGCCATAAACACATGTTATATTGTTTAAGAGTAGCAGTCCTTAGTTTGTTATGATATTTTTCTCCTTTTTGTCCTCCGTGTCAGAGGACCTTTATTTTTTTTTCTTAATTTGGCTTGTTGCAAATTTATGTAACACTGTGTTTCTGAATGATTTGCAATGGCCTTAAGTACCTTTTTGGCATGTCATTTGTTAGGAGACCAGTTCTAGAGAAGGTCCTTCAACTGGCCAGATGTGTCATTTTGGAACAGATTGAGGGCCTGCCAAAACACCATTTGTTGCCAGTTCCGGATATTGTTGGGGTGCTCACCACTCTGTTACCATATTTTTGCATGTCTTAACATTGCATAAATAGGCAGCTGTTCTGTATTTAGAATATAAATGAGTCACCAGCTTGCTTTCCCAGGAGGATTTACCTGCAAAAGGGAACCCACAGTGTTAACCCCTTCCCATCCCCCTGCCTGCATGTCACATTTAAATGCACACTTCTCTGAGCCCATTCAGAAGCAAATCCTTATGCATATAAATCACACCTCTCTTGCCAGTGAGACAAGAGAACCAAAAATGTGCAGTTCACTGTGCTAAAATGGAACACATTTCCTTAGCAGCAAAAGCAGTAAATTAATCAGCTTATAAACTGAGAGTGAGCAATTTGTGCTGAATTCTTTCTTACTGTTCCTTCAATAGGAGACAAGGTTCTCTAATCTCGGAAAGGCCATGACTTCATTAAGATGGAAACCCCTGTTAAAGGATGTGTTGCAAGAGACAAGAGAAGAAAAGCCCTAAAAGTCACTCAGTTGTCTCTCTCGAGCTATTTTCAGGCCAGGGAATTTTTATTTATTTGGAGAATGACAATTAACCTAGAGACTTTGCCCAACAAAGGAGCAGAGTGCTGAAGTAGGTCTCACTATAGGACATCAAAGGCAGTTGGTGTGACCCAATCCACATTTGTAGCAGATGATTCACATAACAGGCTAGCAGAAGCTACCTAATTTTGATTTCAAACAGCTTAACCAATTCATGTATAGACGTAGATATAAGACACTGTATGTGCATGTGTGTGTGTGTATTTTCCCTTCGATACACTTAGGAAATAAAAGTTGTCAGTGTTGGAATACAAAGGAATAGGAAAGTCAAGGCAGTTAGAAAAAGCAGAGGTAGTTGAGGTATATGGTATAGGCCCGGTCTCAACTACTTTTTTTGACTGTTTCCCCTAAAATAGTTTATTTGCTAAAGAAGCCCAGCATTCTGCAATCTGATAGGGTCAAGTCATTTCTCCAGGCTTTTCATCTTGCCAGCCAAAGAAAAGTACACACAGATAGATAGGTGACATTTGGAGAGCCAGGCATGCCAGATTTTCGGAGGTTACAATGGAGGCCCAACCTGCTGTTCTTCTAATGAAAGGAGGGGAAATTCAGACTGGCCGAACTGCTATAAGGAATATCTCTGCTCTGAATGTCACGCTGCCCAGATGTCGCTTGGCAGGTGGAGATGCACGGAGAATGAAAATGTAGCCCTGTGTATGTGGGTGTTAGTGCGTTGCAGGGTGAACAATGAGTCCATCTTCTGAAGTGTAATGAAAACAGTGTGGATCTTGTCTATATTCATGTCATGAGAAAGGGCGTTCTCAAAGAGTCCTCACCCCATTTCCCCTCCCAGACTGATATGCGTACGTGCTCACAGACCATGTGCACATGACTTGTTTTGGGGTTTTAAGTATAACTTGATGATTTATTTAGTGTTTTTATAGACATATTATGTATATATGCTTTTTCATTATAGAAAATGGGATCATACTGCATAAACAATTTTGTACCTTGAGTATTAAATCTCAAAACTATATCATGAGTATTTATTTTCCTTAGACTTTTCTTATATTTTAAAGCAGATTTTATAGCAAAGATACATGATCCTACACTCAGCCATTTCCCTGTTGAACATTGAGGTTGGCCCTAGACTGTTTTAAGACGGGCACGGCTATGTTTCTCAGTAAATATTTAATTTTTATTAGAACAAAGTAAGACGTGAAGTTACGTTTTGCAAGAGAAAGCTAAAGTTACTGTCATTGAGTTTTCTTTCACTACAATTGTTTTTCTTTAGTGTTACGAGATGACTTCCGGCAAAATCCCACAGATGTTGTAGTGGCTGCTGGAGAACCTGCGATCTTGGAGTGCCAGCCTCCCAGGGGACACCCAGAACCCACCATCTACTGGAAGAAAGACAAAGTTCGAATTGATGACAAGGAAGAAAGAATAAGTGTGAGTTAAATTAAAACGAATGCTTACAAAGATTGACTCTCAAGTCTTCAAATGGATATATTTTATTGCCAATAAAATTGTAGACCTGTACTGAATGCTAATGACCATTTACACTGCATTGAAAGGACTGAAAAAGAAAAACCGAGAACTAAAACTTTAGGATGAGGCTTCAAAGACACAAAAATTATAGAAATCAAGTGTAGATGATATATTAATATTTGTACCAATCTGAATATGAAAAGATATCAATGTGTAAATATGTATGAATATGTAAAGATATATATATCTTTGCAGTACAAAGATGACAAAGCTCTTTTTAACATCTCAAATGCATCTTTGGATTATGTAGTTTCACTTGAGTGATAAAGCGTAAATGATGGCTGTAAGCCATATTAATGAGACCATTTCTTTTGGCACTTATTTTCAAAATTATAAGAGAAAATAATATGAGGTAATGAGTACTTCAAGCACCTTTTCCAGTTTTCAAATTTAATATTTATAACTAAATTTTTTACATGCATTCATTTAAAAGTTTAAGAGGTATAAAGTAAAATCCAAGTAAATGTGACTTTTTTGATTCTGCAGTTTTAGCTCTTGTAGAAAAATAGTCTGCTTTCAAGGAATATTGATGATTAGGTTCATCACTTGATTAATATCGGAATCAGACACCCAGAACATTGTAAAGAGGTAGAGAAGGGGAATGGCATATAATTATTTTATATTTTTAGAGGAGCCACTCAATGTTTGTGATGCTTATGGGAACCAGTTCACTGAAATAGTAGATAATGCTTCAAACTTCTGATGCTATTCTTAGTGTAATTTTTATATTCAGTACAATTATTGAGAATAAATATATTTTACTTAAAATAATGTCTCATTTAACTGAACAAATGTGCCATTTCTATAAAAAGTCCATATAGTCTAGGGTCTATTATCTTTAAAAATATCTTATAATGAAGATTTTTTTTAATGTATGCATCGTGGTTACATCATAACCGAATAGGCCATATAAGAGATCACAATATATATTCATGTGATTCTGGCTTCAACTCTTGACACCATGAGGAGCTACATTACCAGGGAGAATTTGGTTCTCAATGGTCTGTGCTTGGATACCAAACATGAAAATATGCTCCTGGTGATAGAGTAAAATCACTGTTGAAGGGTTTCTAGTTCATGTTTGCATCATTTAATTTTCGCTTTAAAACAAACCACCACAAAATACAGTGACTTATAATAACCATTTTATTTAGACTATTATTCTGTGGGTAAGATGACAATTCTTTATCCTGGGCCAACTTGGCTGATCTTTGCTAGGTTTTCTCATGCTTCTGTGGCCTGTTTAAAAGATGTGCTGGCAGCTGGATGATCTAGGGTAACCTTACATGTCTGGCCATTGACTTATACTCAGCTGGGCATTCTGGTTCTTCTCTTGGTCTCTAATTTTCCAGCAGACCAGCTCAGACTGGTTCCCATGGTGGTCTCAAGATTCCAGCAAGGAAAGACAAGTCTCAGTTTGAGAACACTTTTCATCTGCTGAAACACTGTTTTAGTTTCATTGGTCAAATCAAGTTATATTGCCAAACTCAGTTTCATGGGGGAGGAGAAATGGCCTCCATGGCCATTTTTATAACCTACAGTTTATTATACTCCACAGCACATAATTAAGAACAGGTTGGCAGTCTTTCCTTCCCATGTAAAAATGAAATTGAAAGTCCCTTTCTGTGACATGACAAGTTTCAGAGCCTGAAATATATCCGTTGAGAACATACCTACATGGGTTTTGTTTGCCTGTGAGATAAAAATTAACAGAGGAAACCAACACGTTCTTCTCTCCTATCTCTTTAAGAACATTCAGTCATTGTGGTGTTAAGATTGTTGAATTACATAAATATAAAGAAAAAAATTGGAAAAGAAGCCATGAGTTGGTGATACACATACTAAAAATCTAATTCTGCTTCAATATGCTCTTTAACAAATAGACATTTTAACGTATTACATTGGTTTATTTGGTCAATAAATGCTTCTCATTTAAGAAGCAATTAGGAAGCACCTATTAGAAGCCAATGATTTACACCAACTCATACTCTCATCATTTAAAAAAAAATATTTTTATCAAACGTGCCCTCCTCTTCAAAAATTATCTTATACATACCATCAAGGTGAGACAGACAAGTAATGCTAAAAATTGAAATTTAAGCTCCATGAAGGCAGAGGTTTATTATTATTTGGTTTACTCCTGAATCTCAAATGTCTAGAACACTGCTCAGCCCATAGAGGTACTCAGTAAATGCTTGTTGAATCCCTCTGTGTCAGTTCAATTTCATTATAGTACCAAAAACGGTTATCTAGTGCTTCTTTCTGATGACAAATATCAATAGCAATTCATTCAACCTACTGCAGAGTGAAGACAACCACTAGGATTTGATGGAAGCAGTCACAAAAGTCAAAATAGGACCAGACAAGAAAGAAAAAGAATGCCCAAAAGCATTTTCTAGAAAGGGAATATGAAGGCTTATCCTGACGGAGAAGTTAAGAGAAGAAAAAACACATGCAGATGCCAAAATAGGGGGAAAGTTTTGTATCTTAGACCCTGAGCTATTTCCTTTAGGAAAAAAATGTTCTGCTTAAATATTCAAAATTATTTATTAGTCACCTTCTCTTTGCTGTTTATTTTACTTTACATTTTCTTTCTTTTCTTTTCCTTTCTTTTTTTTCTTTTCTTTTTCCCTTCCTCTTTTTTCTTTTTCTTTTCTTTTCTTTTTTTTTTTTAATTTTAACAGATCCGTGGTGGAAAATTGATGATCTCCAATACCAGGAAAAGTGATGCAGGGATGTATACCTGTGTTGGCACCAATATGGTGGGAGAAAGAGACAGTGATCCAGCAGAGCTGACTGTCTTTGGTAAAACTCTCTTTTAAATTATAAATTGCTATTTATATATACTTTCCCTTTGATGTTAAATGCATTTGTTGATACTAAACACCAGGTCCTATAGGGAAAGGTACTTATGACTTATGGTGAGTAGTGAAGGACTAAATTTGCCTTGTTTTCTGGTTCTGTCTTTCAGATGAAATCTTCCATCTGAAGAAAAATAGAACTTTTTAAACAATAATTCATTTACTTTATTCATATATATTTATAGGATTTGCCTTTTATCAGAATGTAAAAACTTGATCTTTCTCAAATTCTGTTTGAGATATTATATCTGTCTAAAATTTATTCACTGTGATATATTTATTAAGTATCTTTTATGTGCAAGACAGAGGATAAGTTTTTTGGTTTTCTTGTTTTATATTAGTGAAGTACAAAGACATTTCACTTGTTTTCTACTTTAAAAATTTTCAAATTGAAATATTTACAGTAGAGCTTGTGGTTTAAAGAACTAGCTAGCTGCACACACACACACACACACAAATACATACATGTAATCCAAATTAAAAAAAAAAAACACAAATAAACTGTCTTGCTGATGTAGGCAGGCTGGGTCCAAGAACCCAGGGGAAGATCCCACAGGACCAGTCAAGAGGGTCCTTGGCTTCACACAGGATAGAAATCAAACGTGAGCCAGAGAAAGTGAAAATAGAGTTTATTGAATAGTGTGAGTGACAGAGAATAGCAGACAAAGTGTCTGAAAGACTCAGAAAGGAGAGAAGAAGGAGTTTTGTTGTTGCTTATGGCTAAGGGTTTATATTAGAAAAGGGTATAGGGTATGTGTTCCTCCAGGAATCCAGGGTAGGGTCAATCACAGGCAAGTGTTGGGTGAATAATAGGTGTTAATCCATAAATGACCGAAGGTAGGGGTATTGATGCCATTATCAGCTGAGGTTTGTTGGAAGCTAATACCCTGGAACCTGTTTGGGATCTGGCTCTCATTACATGTTGTCAGGTGTTTGGGACCTAAGACAAAAACTCAGAAAATGAATAACCTTCTTGCTTCCCCCTTCAAGTGGGAACAGAGCTGCTTTGGCTTATTCAGAGGCAAAATATGGGACATGAGTAAATGGTGCCTCAGAGAAAAACAGCAGAGATGGAGGTTTCTAAAATGGAGCCCCTTCAACTTCCCTACTTCATTGTGATGATATTCGTGTTTTTTTGATTTAATAACCAAGGGACTTTTTATTGGAGTAATATGATTAATGGACTAAAACTTGAGTCAGTTGAGCGTCAGACTCTTGATATCAGCTCAGGTCTTGATCTAAGAAGTTCAAGCCCCACTTTGTGCTCCACACTGGGTATGGTGCCTACTTTAAAAAAAAAACAAAAACAAAAAAAACACAAAAACTTGATCAGATCTGTTTCAGAGAAATTGTGGAGAGAGCATTAGGAAGGAGAAAAGAGAGGATAATAAAGATGTCAGAGTAAACAAAAAGGAAAATACTATAAGGCAGCTGTGGAAAATTGAAAGAGAAATAAAATGACAGAAAATTAGGGAAAATAGGGATCCTAAAGATATTGGAAAATGAAACATTCCTTTAGAAGTCATGGAAATACCGTTTAAGTCTCTGTATGGATACACACATACACACGTGTATACATACACATATATATATACACACACATACATACGTGTGTGTGTATGTATCTCTATCTTAAAAGATTTAACTATTGTTGATATTATGTGATTTTTTAAAAAGATTTTATTTATTTATTTATTTATTTATTTATTTATTTATTTTTGAGTGAGAGAGCATGAGTGTGCTAGTGGGTAGAGGGGCAGAGGGAGAGAGAATCTCCAGTGGACCAGCAGACTCCCTGCTGAGTGTAGAGCCCAACAGCGGCTCATGAGATCCTGAGATCACGACCTGAGCAGAAGTCAAGAGTCAGATGCCCAGCCAACTGAGCCACCCAGGCACCCCATATTATGTGATTTTTTTTTGTAATACAAGAGATAAGTGTGATTTTTAAATAATTTTTTGTGCCAGCAAAAGTATCTTCTGGTTCTATGTATTACGGTAAGATTTTATTGATGGTCATTACTCCAGAACATGTTTGAGGGTAGCATCAGAATCCTGCATACTTTCTGAAAGAAATTTCTTTTGCAGTTTGAGATGGACCATCCCGTGGTGTAATGGGAATGCTACTATGCAAAAGAGCCATATTATGATTTCCATTACATTTAGAGTGTTAAGATGTGCTTTGTGAATATGTACTCGAGTGCAGGCCTCTCTTTCCAATCACTTTGAGTACCGGGTAATCTCTGGTAATATTCCTTATGGATACTAAGCAGCTTGAAGTCCCAAATGACAGAACCAGGAGAAATCCCATAATTCATTAAAGGAATTGAATAGTAAAAATAAAATTGTTCAAAGTATGCATGTAAATTTCTGTCCTGCAGAGCTCAGACAAGTATCAGTTTGCCCTTAAATTTCATGCAGTCATCCTTAAGAGTCTCAAAATGTGTTTCACTCCATAATGAATAAAATACAGTTTTGCCTGGTAAGATATAAAATTAGTGGTCACTGAACATTAGCATTGAAAACCCACAAGTACAGCTGTTCTATTTAAAGAAACACTCATTACTATTTTTCTGTAACTGCCACAAGCTTTGGAACAGAAAAATGTTGCATTATAACAGTACATACTGCCTTCAGAAGGAAATTGAAAGGGTTTAAAGTCATTATCCAAGCAATTAGACTTACCAAAATGTGACTGTGTTATGAAATATTCACCCCATGTTCCCTAAAGACGTGATGAGAACTACAGGAAATCCTTAAATATGTCTGGAGTTACAGTGGAACTTCTAAATTATTTTGAAAATAGCTATAAACCAAAAAGATTGAATTTGTCTAGTGGCCATACCTCTGGAAGAATTGATTTAAGAATCTGAGAACATTTATCTGATGGTGTAAACTAGTCAGAACCGACCCAAGGGGTTATAAGTACAATATTAAGTTGAAGAAAAAGACCGAAAATCTCCATTACTGACAAGAAAACAACATCCAAACCCAGAAATAAAACATAAAATCAGTAGTGATTGTCCAAATCAAGGACGTGACCAGGATTGCATGAGAAAGGTCCCTTCTGTACTTTGCTCAATTCTGAGAGAAAAGAACTAGTGCGCTATGAATAGGGGGGGACTTCTTTATGTTATTTTGGTGCTTTTGTGTCCAGTACATGTTTTCTAATAAACTTCTTTATATTTCATTGCTGTTAGATATTATTATTTCTGACCTAGGGTTTATAAATGTATAACTGGCTGCACTTTACCCCTCCCTCCCTCTCAATGAGCAGCAATTCTGCTTTAAATAAAAAATTTGGCTACTATAACCCCTCCATAGCTAACAGAAAATTTTTACTTGTCCTTTGCAACTCCATCTTTAAAATACGTTATACAGAAAAAGTAACTGATAATATTAATTGTTCAAAAAGTATAATTCAGTTCTAAATGGCAAGAAAAACAGCAAAAGGTGTAATAGGTCATGGCAAATACAAAAGCCTTTGGTAAGTATTTTGGTTCTTTAGTAAGTAGGCTTGAACTTAGAAGTTTTTGTTTTGTTTTGTTTTTTGTTTTTTAGTTTGAAAATTGCAGCTTATATTTTAAAGATCTCTTATGTAGACAAAGAGATCAGTGTAACTTCATTTTCAAAATATACTCTGCCATCCGCCATGCATCATTTATTCTGTTTGTCCTTTAATATTTGTTGGCCATACGTAATAGCTTAGTTAAGTGGGCAGTACCAAATCTAAAATTAAGAGGTAGGCATCATAGTGTTAACGGACACTAAAATCTGTGGCACACTCCAGATGCCTTCATAAAGAATACTCCCTAGCACTTTACATATGTTAATTAACTACTAAAGATCCTGAAGTCAGAGAAACTAGAATTACATAATTAAATTTCTAATTATGGGTAAATTTGGGCTATCTGTTATCCAAAATTTAACTGTCACTTAAAAATAACATAATTTTTTTCCAAATGATTTTTATTTATTTATTTTTTAAAGATTTTATTTATTTATTTGAGAGAGAGAGACAGAGAGAGCATGAGAGGGGCAGGACAAGCAGACTCCCCTCTGAGCGCTGGTCATGAAATCATGGCCTGAGCTGAAGTCAGACACTTAATCCACCCAGCCACCCAGATGCCCCTGAAATGATTTTTACTTTTTATTTATTTATATTTTTAAAAGATTTTTATTTATTATCTGAGAGAGAGCGTGCACAGAGGGAGAGTGAGAGGCAGAAGCCGATTCTCTGATGAGCAGGGAGCCTGATGCAGGACATGATCCCAGGACCCTGAGATCATGACCTGAGCCTACAGCAGATGCTTAACTGATTGGACCACCCAGGTGCCCTGTTCCCCAAATGATTTTTAATAAATGCTTATCAAAGTAATCCATGAAAAAAAGATTTCATATGTTATACTTCCAATAGACATTAGAAGTATTACTATACTTACAATGAAATACAGAAATATCTAGCCCTACCCCTCCTTCCAGTACACACACACAGACACACACACACGCACATATTCCTCACCTTTGAGCATTTCTACAAGCCTGTTTTATCTTTTTCTTATGGGATTTATTTCCATATTTTTAAATATGTCCTTATTCTGCAGTTTTATACACTATTTTGACTTCCTATTTATAAGACGATGATTTGGCCCACTTATATCCCCTTTCCCAACTTCTCACCTCCACTCCCCCTTCTATCTGTCCTTCAGTGTATTGACTTTAGAAACATTGGTTATATTAAGATTCAGAATGAGTTATTATAACCATGTAAATATGGACTGAGCTTAGTATTATGCTATTATGATGGCATTTCTTTTCTGGCACTTATTTGTTCTTCTTTGAGTTAGTAATAAACCTATTTTATTTCTTTTACGTGTGTTTGTCTACATCTGTCATAAGTTCTTGAAACCTCTAATGGAAGGTTCAAAATCCTCTAAATTCTACTTA